CAGATGGACCTTTTCACAAAATGGAGTCCATTTATGATGCTGAAAAAAGAAGTGGAAATGCCAGACTGAAAACCATCGCTCTCTTCAGCTAAAACGGAACCCTTTGTAGACCTGTTAGCTGACAGGTCAGAGAACAATGTTGGGCTTGCCTTTCTTTTTACCCAGTGTCTCAGCCTCATTAATTCTTTTGAATCAGATAGCATCTTCTTCCTCGATAGCCCTAACATTCCGCATCCCACAGATCCTAAGCCTATACATTTTTCCCTTTTAGACTTCAAAGAATCGCTATCAGGAGGCTCTGCCGGGTGGAAACTAACCCTGCAGTAGGGTGCCTTGGGCAGAGTAGGTTACTAGAAACAGGAATCTGGGGCTTAACTGCGATTTGTGAGGAGCTTCTTCAGTGAGAGGTGGGAAATGGATCGGAGAAATGGACACCAAGAAATCCCACTGAACTAAGACGACCTTAGCCCCGCTCTAGCCAGCAGCTTCAAGAAAGTGAAACTAGAGCTACAAGGGGTCAAGACTAGATTTCTGCATTATGTAGGGAAAAAGATGGGGTTAAGATGCAGAATCAACTTCTTTCTCCCCCTCACTTACATGCAATAAGGTCTTATTCTACAGGCCAAAAAGCTTCTTGATCTAAAGTGAGCTTCTCCCATTCTCAGAATTAGGGCATAACACACAAGGAAAGAGGCATCATGGAGCAGAGGTACAACCAGTAAAGAGAAATCAGAGGGAAAAGCAAGGACACTGGAATTTCAACTTCATCTGAGAATAGCTGTGTGACCTCAGGCAAGTTCAACCATCCTTCTGTCTTCCCTTCTCTCATTTTGTGGCTCTCATGTGGCCTCATCTCGTGTTCCTCTAAAGTCACAAATTACATTTCGACGTGCTGAATATAAGTAACACATTCTAATTCTTCATCATTCCAGAGCCCCAAGGAAAGCCATGAGTTCAGGAAGGGATTCCACATTCGGGTTTTCAAGCTCAGCTACTCTCCTGACAAGCCAGCATCACTGCTCAGCTTGTCTCTCTTGCTGCAAGGATATTCCAGTTGACATAGCTGCGCTTCTACACCTGCATGCATTTTCCTCTTCCTGTTGACCATGACATCAATATATCTGAAGACAATTTGTTAAACTATGATGGGACATTTAAATGTCTAATCTGTAACAGAACACCTCCCCCCCAATTTTTTTTTTGCTACATATTACTTTTGCTTATGAGATCCTCTCTTTATCAGAGTGGACCACACACTCTGCACCTTGGGAGAAGGTTCAGAATTCTTACTTCTGGCAAACACTTCATGACATACTCTTGTATTCACTGTACCTTTCTGCTAATAACTGTGGACTTAAGTCACAACCTGCATTTGGGCATGGAGAATCGTCTGACTCAATTTTAGTTGAGCTCAACAGTATTTACTGAGCACCTACTAAAGGCCAGAGATGTGGATACAAAAGTGAATAAATTTCACATGGCTCCTGCCCTGATGGAGCTGACAGTGGGAAGAGAAAAATTTGTAAACTAGCCATAATGAAGTGAAGTGAAGGTCGCTCAGTCATGCCTGACTCTTTGCAACCTCTTTGCAACTATACAGTCCATGGAATTCTCCAGGTCAGAATACTGAAGTGGGTAGCCATTCCCTTCTCCAGGGGATCTTCCCAACCCAGGGATCGAACCTAGGTCTCCTGCATTGCAGGCGGATTCTTCAGCAGCTAAGCCAAAAGGGAAGCCCAAGAATACTGGAGTGGGTGGCCTATCCCTTCTCCAGCAGGTCTTCCTGACCCAGGAATTGAACTGGGGGTCTCCTGCATTGCAGGCGTATTCCTCACCAACTGAGGTATCAGGGAAGCCATTATAACCTGATACATAAAATGATGAAGTCAAAAAATACAGAAATACAGACCATGTGACATCAGAGACAGCTTGGAAGAGTTGTTGCCTGAGCACATTCACAAGTGACAAATGAGAGCCTCCCAAGCAAGCAGAAGCAGGGAAGGAAAGCAGGAGATAGGAAGAGAATGTGCAAAGGTGCCAAACTGGAATCCAATGATGATGTCACAGAAATGTGCACTATGGAATAGAATGTGCAAGGAATGCCCTCTGAAAAGGCAAAGCAGGCATGGGCCAGATGAGGAGACTCGGGTACCCCTGGAGGCTAACACTTGATTCAGAGAGAGAACCACAGAGCTGCCACAGTTGTGTCTTGCAAAGACCATCCAGAAGACATGTGAAAGATGGCTCAGTGATACAAGAAACTGCAAGACTGGTTGGGAAAATGAGAAAAAGCCTAGGAAATCAGGAAGCTTGGATAAAGCACTTTTAGTGGGGGTGGCTTCCTAGTTTAAGAGTTCTAAGTCAACTGGATATAGTGCTTGATTGGACATGATGAAGGAAGGCTGAGGAAGAAGACAGACTTGAGGCCAAGTTGGAGTGACTTGACACATAGTGGGCCAGCAACTGACACAAAGTCAGGAGTAAATATCTGCGTGTGTGAGAATACGGGATGAGGGTAAAGCTGATGAGTTCTTTTTCTTTCTGCTTCTCCAGGAAGTAAAAATGGTACCAGACTCTCTTAGCCTGAGGATTAAAATCTCAGTTTGTCCGTTCCACTTTAGAAAATCTTCCTAACAACTGAGGCATCTTTCACCCTTAAGGTTTTCTGATTTCTTCCTCAAGAAAACTCTCCCTTTCCTCTCTAACCTCCAGTCAAGACTCCAAAGACAGTAGCGTATAAATATCACTCTAAATGTCAAGAAGTTCCTAAAGTTTTTGGTAGGCAGAGTTTGATTAAAATGTATTAACTCAACAAATAAACATTTACTGAACATTTACTATGTGCCAGCAATGAATTCTTCAGTGTTTAAAAAAATACAGACATTTGCTTTCTGTAGACTTTTTTCTCCATGAGCATAAAATACAGTTTTCATAGGGTTATTTTTTCCCATAAGACATTAATTTACTCAATTATGAACTGCCCTATGGCAGGTTTGTGAACATCATCTTTATAGATGGAGAGGGAAAAGTACGTTATTTCTGTCACATTCCCATTATTGGTAGTTAATAGCTCAAACTAATGCTTGTAAGACAGTTGCTCTGGAAAAAAAAATCAATGCTGAGTTCCAAATAACCAATCCAGAATTAACTTACTTCAGTTATGTTTAATGGTCATATTTTTAAAAACTATATCAACTTCAGAGCATAGAAAACTATTTCAAATACCAGTCAAAGGCTATCCTCATATAATCTTCCACAGCTGATTCTCTAGGTAGCAGTTAAGAACAAGAAAGAGAATGGAGAAGTAAAGGGGAAACATGCCCTTCTTTTCACTCAAAAAATAAAATGCCATCAGTCATGGCAAACCATGTTATCTTGATTTTTAGAGTTGAAAAAGAGGTAATTCTCTTTAGAATTCTTTCCAAATGCATCCCATGAGAAGTGGTTCCCTAGATAGCTCTAGTTCGCAAAGAATGATAAACATCCTGGATTAAGAAAGTCCCAATAAAAACAAACATCCGACTCTCATGAATCTATGGTTATAATCTCCAGTGCCGGGACTTCCCTGGTGGTCCAGTGGTTAAGACTCCACGCTTCTGCTGCAATGGGCACTGGCTCAATCTTGGTCAGGAAACTCAGATTCCTTGTGCCAAGTGGCACAGTCAAAACAAAGCAAAAAACAAACCTCCAATGCCGTGATTACACAAAACCTAGCCTTCTCCAATACAGTGACTTCATCACTGAAGCTCTCTCTCTTAAGGACTGGTCCACCAATGCCCAAATGCAGCCAACCTGAAAGGGGCTGCCTTCCTTTATCACAAATGCTTTCTCACCCTAAGGGCTAACAAACCAAGTCCCAAGCTGATCCTAGCAGGCTCCTACCCCCTGGTCCCTGTGTACTAGTCGACCAGCCAAACTAATAAGGGACAGGAATATGCCCTAGTCCCAGTCAGGAATATGTGGGTGGCTTGCTCAGTCACAGGCAGACTTCCTGCTCTGAGGCCTCTTACCACTGGTAACCCAGCAAAAACCATTTCCTCTCTGGGTAAGCCAATAATTCCACAGGGATAGAAGGTAGGTCTTCCTCTCTGTGACCCTCTAAGCAGATCTGACTTCCTTCCCACAAACTGACAGCATTTGAGAAATGTTTTGACTTATTTCCTTCCTAGCCCCAAGTGACCCTCCAGTTTTAAAGGATTGGGAAAGATCTCCCTAACCCTAATAAAAAGCCTTCTTCACCATTCCTGCAGAAATCAGCCCAGTTCTTGCCATATATCCTGATATTTGTTGAATAAATAAATGAAGAAGGATTGTTTTCATTTGTTTCTGTCTCCCCTTCACGGGACCAGGTCCACTGATGGGCAGCCTTCCCACAGTAGCCACCTCAGTCATTTGGAGGCTACTCAGTACCACCTCACAACAGCTGCCACTTTCACACTGAGCATCAGTTTGGAAAAGCAACCCAGCCTAGTGAGCAGTGAACACAGGTGACAAGTTGAGAAGGTAAGGCAGGAGTGTAATAAGGGAAACACAGTGTTATCTTAATAAATGGCACCTCCAGCTATTAGAGTCCCCTAGGGAGAGGAATGGCAAGGAGCCAAGCTTTCTCTGAAAAGTAGGAACTTCCTTCCTATCCCGTATTCCCAGATGCCCACCTGGAGTAGGCTCTGCATTCTCCAAACCCCCACCTACATTTCTGAAAATATTCTTGAGTGTGGTGTACAAGGCTCCTTTATCCTTCCCTCTAGGAACTCTTCCTGTGTCTCTCCCCTGGGCCAGATTACTAGCACTCTCCCTAAAGAAACCATCACATGAATGCCAGATTTATTCAGTACTGTGAAGTTTCTGATGTCTGAAAAGGACTGAACTATGTCTGAAGAATTTTCCACATTCAACACACTCGTAAGGCTTCTCACCAGTGTGAATCCTGTAATGTTCACTAAGGTGTGCATACTTGCGGAAGGTTTTCTCACACTCACTACATTTATAGAGCTTCTCACCAGTGTGAGTTCTGTGATGTTCAGTAAGAGATGTGTTGTGAGCAAAGGCTTTCCCACATTCTTGACATTTATAGGGCTTCTCTCCAGTATGAATTCTCATATGCTGAGTGAGGCAGGTATTCTGGTTAAAGCCCTTTCCACATTCATTGCATTTATAGGGTTTTTCTCCAGTGTGACTTCTCTGATGCCGAATAAGGCAAATGCTCTGAATGAAAGCTTTACCACATTCGCTGCATTTGTAGGGTCTTTCTCCTGTATGAATTCTCTGATGTTTAGTGAGTGGGGTGCTCTGAGCAAAAGCTTTACCACATTCCTTACATTTATATGGTTTTTCTCCAGTATGAATTCGCTGGTGTTTAATAAGGGAAGGGCTCTGACAAAAGGTTTTCCCACATTCCTTACATTTATAGGGTTTCTCTCCAGTATGAATTCTCTGATGCTGAGAGAGGTTTGCCTTTGTATGGAAAGTTTTCCCACACTCATCACATTTATACGGTTTTTCCCCAGTGTGAATTCTCTGATGCTGTGTAAGATTTGAGTGTTTGCGAAAAGAAGAGCCACATTCGTTGCATAAATAAGGTTTCTCACCAGTGTGAATTCTCTGATGATGAATGAGGTGTGTGTTCTGACTGAAGGCCTTCCCACACCTATTACATTTGTAAGGTTTCTCTCCAGTATGAGTTCTCTGGTGTTCAGTGAGATGTGAATGATTGCGGAAGGAATTCCCACATTCATTACATTTATATGGTTTCTCTCCAGTGTGGATTCTCTGATGCTGAGTAAGAAATGATTGACATCGAAATGTTTTCCCACACTGCTCACACTCATATGGCTTCACTCCAGTGTGAATTCTTTGATGTCGAATAAGGAATGAGCTACGACTAAAAGTTTTCCCACATTCCTCACATGTGTAGGGTCTTGTATGAGTTCTCTGATGCTGGGTAAAGGATGAGCGCTGAGTAAAGGTCTTTCCACATTCACCACATTTCCAAGATTTTTTCTGTGTAGAGAGGGTCAAATATTTACTTTGGCTTGAAACCTCATTGGTGTGTGTGCTACTTGTCTCCCATTTATGTAGGCTCTCTTCTGTAGAAACCCTGAGATGTGTAATAAGACTTGAGGTCAAAAGCAAGCTTCTCTCAAAATGATATTCTTGGCTAATCATTTCTGGAGGTGCTTCCTTATGGATAAAAGTTATTGCTCCAAAACCTTCTCGGAAAAAGCGTGGTCCAGGAGCCTCTCTGGGAGGGTTTTCCTTCATGTTCTCACATATATGTTTTTCTTCAAATGTAGAATCCTGGTATTCATCCTCTCGGGATCTCTTTGATGCTACCCCTGGCAACTCAATGTCAGTGCCATCCTGCTCTGGAGCAGGCTTGTTCATCCAACCTGAAAAAAACCACCACAGTGAATGTCTCTTGTGGAGGGCAGAGTCTGGAAGTCCCTTAACTTAGAGGGACTTCATTTTGACAGGTCTCAATACTGGCCTATGATTAAGGGTCAATAAGAGCAAGTGAGCATGTAATTCAGAGTTATAAGCGGTGGAAGAGATTCACACCAGGGTAAGGTGATCATCATTAATGAGAAATGGGCAGCTGCAGAAACCAAGGAAGTGAGACAATCAGAGACAAGGAGACAAAAGGAAAAAGACAAACAACAGACTAAGATTAGGGCAAAACGGTGAGAGAATGTAAACGAGCCAAATAGTGGAAATGAGATCAAATGAGTACCAGGGAAAAGTGAGCCCCAAAAGATGCTCACTTACATTCATCCCAACATCCCAAAAGAGAGGGCAATTTTCTCTTCTGAGCTTCATTCAGTTTCTCTTGTAAAATGTCCAGAGCCCTCCTATTTCTTCCACTGGTGAACACTTGCTCACTCACCTGGACAAATCTCTCTTCCAATCTCTCTGTCTTCAGCTCCTTGCATATTCAACATCCACAAATCTTCTCTTTGCTTTGATTGTAAAACACTTCAAGGCTGGAAAAGTGGAGCCCTGCTCATAGAGGAAAAAAAGGTGGGGGAGGGGATATCACTTTCCCAGTAAACAGAAATATGAGAAAGAGCTGTCTGAGGATACTATATAACTCACACAAAACCTGTCAGGATAGCAATGCGCCTGCCTCACCAAGCGTTAGGGATGGCTTCCAGCTTTCTGGATTCACAAACTCCATCTGTCAGCTGTTCAAGTGACAGCCAGACAGACTAACATATTATGAAATAATCAAGCACTTGATAAACACATCAGAATGTTATTTATAAAGATAAAAATAACTAAGAATGGGAATATCCATGTCAATGAATCCACTCTTTCCATTATACAATAATCTAAAGAAAAGGCAATTAATATAAACAAAAGTTACATGGGGGGAAATGGCCTCATAGCAAGGCTCATGTATTATGTCTGATCCACCCACCTCCCCTATATGTCAAGGAGTTGGATAGTAGTTAGGGATTTCTCTCTATTTGATACAACCTAGAGATACACTGAGGAGAAGGCAATGGCACCCCACTCCAGTACTCTTGCCTGGAAAATCCCATGGATGGAGGAGCCTGGGAGGCTGCAGTCCATGGGGTTGCGAAGAGTCAGACATGACTGAGCGACTTCACTTTCACTTTTCACTTTTATGAATTGGAGAAGGAAATGGCAACCCACTCCAGTGTTCTTGCCTGGAGAATTCCAGGGATGGGGTCGCACAGAGTCGGACACGACTGAAGTGACAGCAGTAGCAGCATCAGAGATACACTGATTGTCCTTTCTTCAAGGTATCTTATCAGTGAAAAATTTTTGCTTCAGGCACAGCTCAATATAAGACTGCAGGCTGCAGTTAAAAAAAAAAAACTCTGTGAAATAATTTTTGACTCATAAAGAGTTGTAAAAATAGTAGAGAGTTTCTGGTTTTTGGAAAGTCAAAATTGTAACTGTTCATCAAAAAATGTCTCTCCATATAAGCCTGAAGTGAGAAGTAAAACTTGAAACATCTCAAGAAAGACAGAAAGCAGAGAAATGGTTTATCATAATCAAGACCTCAGAAAACATGAAAGAATAGGATGTCTGGTGAATTAATTAATAAGACCAGCTCTATGGCCTTCTCATCAAGGTCTGTGCCTCAGTGTTGAGATTTAGAGGTTTAGGAGGATTCTAGGTGGGATTTCCCAATCCTCTTCCATAAAGGGACATAAAGTGGACCCACTACAGAATCCTACAGATATTCATGAGGTAGAGTGGGGTCTGGGTATAATCAGAGCTAGACAGTGGAGAAAAAGTCAGACATGACCCTGCCCACCCAGAGCTTACACCACAGCTCAATAAAGAAATTACACCAATAATTACAAATAAGGGAATTAAAAAAGCAGAAATATTGGGCACTGTGGAAATGTAGAGCAGAGGGGACCTAATCTAACCTGGGAAAGAAAGCCTCACTGAAGGAGAGATAAGTAAGGATTAGATGGGCAAAGAGGTAAAAGAAGATATCAAGAGAAATGAAATGGAATATATAAAAGGAATCAAGCCCCATGCTTCAGAAGAATGAACGAGATCTAACAAGGCCAAAGTACGAAACACTAGAAATAGGCCATGAAGCCTGAGGCAAGCAAATACAATCCTGCAAGTCATTTTAAGGAATTAACCCTAAACTGAGCAGAAAGCCACAAAAAGGACTGGAAAAGGTTTGAAAAAAAGATGTGACATGATTAGATCTGCTATCACACACACACATCCTTTTGTCCATAGTACAAGAGAAGAAATGTGTACAGGGGTGAAAGGTAGGAGGCAAGGTGAAGGCTGGAGGACCCCTGAGAGGTTGTTTCAGCAATCCAGTAAGGGGACTGCGCTGGCTAAGAGAAAAAACAACAGGACAAGATGAATATTAGAGGGAGATGTAAGGAGAAAAAGTTAATGATAATTTGCTGGTTTGAAGCTTGAGTGATGACAGTAACCTTTAATGAGAGTGGGAACATTGGTTTGGGAGGAAAAAGATACATTCAGTTTGAAATATCAGGCATACATATATGGAATAGAGGAGAGAGGTATGGGCTGAAAACTTGCAGTTAGAATTTTTGTCATAAAGAGAGTAATTGAAATTCTGAGGGTAACAGATAAAATCACCAAAAGAGTATATAGCTAGGGGATCTCCCCAGCAGTTCAGTGGTAAAGACTCTGTCCTTCCAATGCAGGGAGTGGGGGTTCGATCCCTGGTGGGGGAACTAAGATTCTGCATACCGTGTGGCACAGCTAAATAAAAAAAAAGAGAGTGTAACTAGGAAACCTTAACAGTGAGTTTACATATTTACAAGGAAGTTAAACTCTGGCTTTTGACTTTATAGACTCTTAATCCCCTAAGAGAAATATGTAAAATAATTTAATATATGATAAAAATTGGCATTTCTAATCATAAACAATTGATTTCTCCCAAATTGTGCTGAGATTGTTTAACTATCTGGAAAAAACACTTAGTGAGACTCCTATTTCATACCACATACCAAAATAAATCTAAACTGAGTAAAGGGTTAAAAAATGTATTTTTTTAATTTATACATCAAAAAAGTAGATGGACCTGATAAATAAAAAGCTTCTTATTAATGAGTAAAGAAAAAAGATGAACTGACAGAAAAATGGGCAGTATAACAAATACTCCAAGAATTAACAAAAAGCCAATAAACATATCAAAACAAAGCTTCACCTCCACGGTAATCAAACAAATGAGAACTGAAAGAATGAAGAATTGATTTTATCAAATTGAAAATTTTCTCTTTAATGCTAAAACTCAAAAACTGGCAAAGGTCAGGGAAAGAGCCTCTCACACACAACTGGTGGGAATATAAACTGGTACCATCTTTCTAGAGATAATCTAGTTACATATATTAGGTCTTAAAGTTGTATGCTGAGTGGCAATTGGGACACTAGGATCACCATTTTGTAGGTACAGGAACTTAGAACAAAATTCTCAGTCACCTGCAATGTATCTTAGAAGATCCTCAAATTTATCAGTATGTCATAATTTCAGATACAAATGTAGCATCATATATGTATGTTAAAATATGCATATAAATAAGACCAAAAAGGAAAATTAATCACCATGGGGATATGAATTATGAATGATTTTCCCCCTCTATTTCCCGTATTTCCTCAATTATTTATATTCTGCCTTATTTTAAAAAAACTAACGTTAGGAATTCTCTGGTGGTCCAGTTGTTAGGACTCTGCACTTTCACCGCTGAGGGCCTGGCTCAATCCTTAGCTGGGGAACTAGGGTCGCACAAGCTGCACAGCATGGCCTAAATAAATAACTTAAATCTCTCAGAGTATCTATCAATTTGTTAGCCACTATCATCTCTGAGGAATAAGATTATGGTACACTTTTTTCTTTTTTCTTGCTGCGCCATGTGGCATGTAGGATCTTCTCCAACAAGGGATTGAACCTTTGGCCCCTGGATTGGGAGCACAGAGTCTTAACCACTTGACCACCAGAAAGGTCTGAAACTTTTGTTGTCGTAAGGCCTTTCCTTTTGTAATGCTTGAAAGTCTTCCTGTAGAAATAAATAACTCTATAATCACAGAAAAAAGTGAAAAAGTATAATCAGAGATGAGCACAGAGACTTATGTGCAAGGATCACATTGTTACTATAATTTTAAGAAAATATAGGC